CTTTTACACTTCGTCCGGGACATAAACTATGCAAGGCTTCTATAGTGATGGCTCTTTTCATATTAATGCAATTCATCTTATTGAATAAATGAGCAAACAATTTGATTTTCCCTCATTGATAAAGCACACTCGATAATTATTTATTGCTGGAATACACCTGTCATCCGGTAATTCGTGTGCAGCCCGAATTTCAAGCAGCTAAGTACTTGTGTGAAACAATGATTCGCACACACTCTGGAATAGAGCATTCGATTTGCAATAATGTAACCATAGCACATTGTGCTACCATATTACTAGTATTACGTGATTCTAATCAAATTACGTTACGTGTGCACATAAATCGTCCAAACGATTTGGTTTTTCAAATCTCAAAATATGCGCACTTAGAACACAGTTTTAGGCGAAAAGGTGTTTTTCAGATAAGCCATAATCATGTCATTACACTTTTATACGGGAGGATAAACCCAGGGGGTTTGGACGGAGAATACTGAAATGTGAGCAATTGACTACTTTCTATGTTTGCAGTTGTCGTATTTCAAGTCAGTAATGGAGTATTTGACTTAATTTCAAAAGGGGAATTCGTCATTTACATAGCAAATAAAGCGTGAATTGAAAAGCTAGGAAGCACTGTTGGACAACTGTTTCGATCTGGTTAGGTCTCATCAGCAGTGAGCGAATCCATCGACCCAACTGGGGATTGAACCCAGGACCTCAAAGGCAGAGCGCAAGCATACTACCCACTCGGTCACCGGTCAGCTGATCAGACCGTTTTTCACTTCCATTTACACGATATAGCACAAGCAATCTTTGCGAGCTTTTTGCGGGCCACGGACCTCGCTCATCTCAGCGCTAGCAGCTATGTCACGTTTGTCGTGTGGCCCATTTCTGAGGGGTATCTGTTATTGTGTAAAGATGTATTTTTGTTGCCAAAGGATGATGGAGAGCTTGGCAAATACGCTTCTGGGCATATGGTTTGGGGATTCCGTGGTTAATACAGATATGACTGCAGCCATGGCTAACATGCACTAGGGGAATCTTCTCACAAGAAGTATTGGAAGATGAACTTGTGTTTATCTCCAGCGTGCAATGGCTATGCAGACTATTTCATTCAACAAAATAGGATCAAACAGGTACCAAATGTACACTCTGGTAGGGTGAAAAATAAGGACTTGTTTTTTAGTCATTTTTTTAGGGGCAAATCCTCCGGCTCAAACCGTTATCAAATCCACCGACATTGCTTTTTCAAAAGGTCTGCACTGATAACCATACGGACTGAAGATAAACAACCGCTGTTGACTTCTTCAGTGATTTTCTACTCGTTCAAGTGTGCTTGTGACCCAATCCACGTCTGTCGTGAGAGACAGCTATCTATTCGCATAAAAGAACACCATCTGCACTGGTTCAGTCAATGTGATTTGCGATTCTCGCCCACTTCTCTTACACACTGGCGATAGCATCGCTGTTCACTCCGAGTTTGTCTGCATATATATTTGAATGCGTACGTGAACCAGAACCGAGGCCATTTGCTGTTTGTTGATCAACGTGTTTGTTCGCTTGTGGCATGAGTTCCCGTCGTTTTTAAAAACATTTATTTTCAAAGAAATCAAGCAATTTTAACAACCAAAATAATGACGCACCCATTTATATCTTTACTAAAATCATCAAAGTTTTACAGCAAAAATTATACCACTTCGATCGATTATGTACACTCTCTTATCACATTGTTCACTACTTTTTCTCAGCTTTCCACCCGTTTGGTGATTCTATTTCGCCAGAAATCCTTAGAATGAGTCTGGAAGAATGTGTTGAGCCAATTCTCAAAATGATCCTGATTTTCCAGGCTCAGATCTCTCATTTAATTTAGAAGGCAGAGGAAGAGATGGTAATCCGTCGGGGCGAGGTCTGGAGAGTGAGGAGGGGGATGTTGAAGAACCTTCCAACCGAGCTCTTCGAGTGTCATCTTGACAGTTTTTTCGGTGTATGGTCGAGCATTGTCATGGAGGAGATTCGATCACGTAGTCTTGTCGATCCGGTTTTCGCTGTTGTTGCAGTTGGGCTTTATAGAGATTCTTCTCCACTGTCATGTTATTTCCTAGCATATTCCCAATGGATTAAACCTTCCCAATCCCACAAACGCAAATCATTGTCTTCATCGGGTGCTAGTCTTTCTTGATCCCAGTCTAAGGCTTCTATCCAGGACTCACCCAGCCTTTCCTTTGCTTCATATTCCCATAAAGACACTATTTCTCGTCTCCAGTGATGATTCTGTATAAGATAGGTTGCCCATGGCCATGGGTTTCTTGGTGTCGAGCGAAATTTTGAGCAGCAATGGAAAGCCGCTTATCCTTCTACTTTTGGGTGAGTTCATGTGTTAACCAAGCACCAAACTTTCCGGTGAAACCCATGGACCGAAGGCGGCGTGAAATTGTCACAAAATCACACTTCATCTTTTTGCCAAATTCTCTGCATGTATGGCGGCCGTTTTCCTTCAAAATATCCCTCAGTTGGTCCCCGTTCGTTTCGATTGGTCTTCCGAAACGAGGAGTTCGAAATTATCGTGTATGAACCTGGCAAACTAATTCGGAGCAGTTCTCTCAGCTATAGCACAAATATCTCTGGTAGCTTCACTCGCATTCTGATCTCTGTTAAACGTGAAAAGGTGTCAAAAGTGCGAATTTTTGTCTACTTGACAATTAATTTGACGCTTTTAAAATAGGACAAAAATAATATAGGCAAAAACGATGACGTTAATCTTGTAGAGCATAGCACAGGCATTCTAATGGTATATTACACTTTGCCAAACATCAAAAATGTCTTTGTAGAACAAATAGTTTCATGTAACTCCGCGAAATTATTGTGATGTGACACTGACCTCGAAATTCCTTGTACACTTTAAATGCATTGAATATGCATAGTATACGATTTGAATAAAGCTCGTGTGCTATCCTATTCGAGGTTGTTCTATTCCGGGGATTGGTATTGCGCGAATTCTGGAATCCCATTTCGAATACTATTCCAAATACTATATTTGGCGTCGCGGCCGGTCTACTGAAGAAATGAATTCTACTCCACTAGAATCTCTTGATCTTAACTGCAGTGCATGTGATATCGAGGATTATTTTGAACGTTTTGAGATTTGGTGGTTGACCCGTTCAAAGCCCGATGAGGAAAAGAAATCCGCTTTCTTTTTGAATGCTGCCGGTAAAAATGCTTACACACTAATCAAAAGCTTGGCTTATCCTTCTCCACCTGTTTCTGTACCGTACGATGAGTTAAAATCTCTCGTCCTACAGCATGTGAAGCCAACGAACTTCGAAGCCGCAGAGCGAGCAAAATNGAAGCCGCAGAGCGAGCAAAATTTCATTCAATGGTACGCAATGCGAATCAGGGCATCCATGAATTCATCCTGGATTTGCTCACTCAAGCTGCAAAGTGTGATTTTGGAGATTTACTGGACATGCAATTGAAAGATCGGTTGATCGCTGGCATTAACAATACCGTTTTGCAAAACGAACTTCTGAAGCTATCCAATCCGACGTTCAAAGATTTGCGGGCTTATTGTGAATAATATCAGGACATTCGCACCGCTACTTCATACATACCGTCCATCACTGAATCTACAGCCATGTTCAATTCACTCGAAACTATATCCACGAAAGCTCATGCTACAGCCGGACGTTTCAAACCGGTTACACAATCTAACTCACACAATGTGACATATTTGGATAAATCCCATGGCAACTGTGCATCCTGTGGCAAACGTCATTCCAGATTCACATGTCGATTTCGTTAAGCTTCATGTCACAAGTGTGGCAAAACTGGCCATATTCAGTCTGTATCGCGATACCAAAACCTGTCGTTTAATTCAAGCCCGGGACTCAGAACTGAGTAATATGGACAAACATTTTCCTTCTTTATCTTTGGCAATTACCTCCCATTCCGGTCACATTCGTAAACGACTATTCAGTTCCACTGGTAACTTGCTTCATTTCCTTTTGGACAGTGGTAGTGTGGAATCTCTAATTTCTGTTCACGATCTAAAACTGTTTACTCCAGATGCTAAACTTCAGTCGTCCACTGTCACTATAAATGGCATCACTGGACACTCCCTGCCTGTTGTTGGTTCTTGTGAGATTTCAGTCAGTGATGAACATTCTAAAACTATTACCTGTACATTCATTGTAATCAAATCTGGCCCATCCATACTAGGCTTGAAAGCCATGCGAGCATTAAATGTCAATCTTTCCCTGCTAACCTCTATCGATACTGAAAATGAATTGAAGGATTTGATTATTAAATATTCAAAGACCAATGGTGGCATGAAAATTTACCCAGTGAGACTACCAGTTAATGGCGGTCCAGTATTTCTCAAACGCCGAGTCATTCCATATGGCCTTCGTGAACCTGTCATGAATGCGTTGAACAACTTGTGTTCCGAAGGTGTTATAGAGAAGGTACCGTCTTCCGCATGGGGTACACCAATTGTCGCACCACTCAAGTCGGATGGGAAGACCCCCAGAATATGTGGTGACTACCGAATCACCTTAAATCCAAGACTGTTAAAGCGGACATGTACAACGGCCAAACCAGAGGACATCCTGAATAAGTTGACTGGTTCTAAGATCTTTTCCACGATTGACTTCAAAGATGTATATTTACAAATTCCGTTGGATGAAACATCATCCACTTTGACAACTATTAATACCCCTTTTAGTTTGTACAGATGCAAGTTTCTACCATTCGGTTTATCCGTTTCTTCTGCCATATTTCAACAAGTTATGAACGATATTACTAGTGGTATGTCTGGTGTTGAAGTATATCAAGATGACACTATTGTTCATGCTCCTGTCAGGTCCACTCGTGACGCACGGTTGCTTGAACTCTTTCGTAGATTTTCTGATAAGAATTTTGCTGTTAATCCTAAGAAGTGTTTATTTTCTGTCTCTCATTTTGATTGTCTTGGATACTTAGTTGATGGTAAGGGGTACAAACCTGACCCGAACCGTCTATTTCCTCTGACAAAAGCCAAATCACCGTCTAACATACACGAACTCAGATCACTGATAGGAGCCCTACAGTATTTCTCTCGATTTATCCCTAATTTCAGTCAGAAAGCTTCACCCCTATTTCTTCTCTCTTCTGACAAATTTGTTTGGAATGATGTTCATGAACGCTGCTTACGTGAATTGCTAAATTTTCTGCAGACTGATGCGGTACTTCACCCATTCTATCCCAAAATTCATTCCACTAATGCCTCACTAGATGGAATTGGTGCGAATCTTGAGCAGAATGGGCGTCCAATTATTTGTGTGTCTCACCGGTTAACAGCAGCTAAACGAGGCTATGCTCAAACTCATCGCGAAGCCTTAGCGGTTTACTGGGCAGTCAAGCGCCTCCACAGTTTCTTTTCGGCCATCATTTCACCATCGTTACCGCTCATGAGGCCTTGGAATTCATTTTCGATCCTGGGAACTCCCTTTCCAGAAGCTCTGCAGCTATGGTTCAGCGTTGGAGTATCGCACTCAGTGCATATGATTACACAATTGAGCATCGCAGTGCTAAATACATCCGACACTTGGATTACATTTCGCGTCAATCGCTACTCGCTTCAGAGTCAGAGGACATTTCTGATTCACTACTAGTACAACCTCTTCCTGTGAGCCTCCAAGAACTTATTCGTGACACACGTCGTTATTTCTCTGCTGTGATGACTGCTTTGCGGAAGGGTTGGAACGCCCAGACCCGGAAGCGATTTCCACATCACTATACTAGGCATGATGAACTTTCAATTACGACTGATGGATTACTGTGCTTGAATGACAGAGTTATGATTCCGCCGACGTTGTGTAAAACCATCTTGGGATAGAAAAGATGAAGTCACTGGCTCGATTAACTTGTTGGTGGCCGAACATGGATGCCGACATGTGTTCCAAAGCAAAGAGCTACCCTAAATGCTACCACAAAGTTCGACAGTTGCCATCCAAGTGGGTTCCGTGGCCTGTTTCAACTGAGGCGTAGCAACGTGTTCAAGCGGATTATTGTGGTCCATTTTTCAATGGAATGTATGCTTTTGTTGTCACTGATTCCTTCTCCAAGTGGCCAAAAGTATTTTTCACTGAGTCACCTTCATCAGATTTTACTATTCATGCTTTGCGTAAAGTTTTCAGTCGGGAAGATATTCCTGCTGTATTTGTTACTGATAATGGCAGTCACTTCTCCACGAAAAGTGTTTCAGAATGGCTGCATAACATTTGTTTACTGCTCCTAGACAACCTTGCTGTAATGGACAAGCAGAGAATTTTGTCAGAAACAGGTGTTGATTTGTTTCTTTTACAATATCGTGATTCTGTTCATTCATCCACTAAAGAGACACCTGCTAAATTTTCAAAAGGTCGAAATCTGAGATCCAATTTATTGTGTATTAGTTCTTCTGAAGTTGTATTTTTCCGTGGCAATTATCTAAGACCCGCCTCAGGAATTGACCTAAAGTCTTTAGGTCGAAGAATGCTCCAAATACTTGGCAAGGATGATTTGCTTATACACAGAAGACATGTGGACCGAATTCGCTTTGACAATCCAAGTCAATCATTTCCAATTCATGATGAAATTTCCGAGTCTAATAATGTTTCTTTAGATACTGAGCAACCTGATACGACTGATGAACAGAATGTTGAATAACAAGCCGCTACGGAAGAATTACGTGTGAATGAACAAGTCCTACGAAGGTCTGAGCGACTGAGTGCAAAGCCCAGACTTAATTACAGAAATCCTGTGGTCAGTTCAAGGTGCGGCGAGTGTGATGTGTGACACTGACCTCGAAATTCCTTGTACACTTTAAATGCATTATTTAAATATATGTATATATATATATATTTAAATACATTGAATATGCATGGTATACAATTCGAATAAAGTTCGTATGCTATTCTATTCGAAGTTGTTCTATTTCGGGGATTGGTATTGCGCGAATTCTGGAATCCCATTTCGAGTACTATTCGAAATAATACACTTATGCAAAAACCTGATAGATTGTTCACCGTGCATATTCAAACAACCTTGGAACCGTACACTGTTTGATTTTCATTGAAGGGAAACAGGCCGTTTGCCATTTGTCGAACGAAACCATTTTTCAGAAGATTTTCCGAATGGTTCCTTTTGGTTAGCTTTGACAAAAACCTTGCTAATTGCCTTTCTCCCAAACAGCCCCAATAACCTTATCAATAGGTCATTTTTAAGAAAGAATACTATCAATTCTATCATGTGTTTAGTCTCAACGCTACCACTTCATCATTTAGTCCACATTTCGGCTATATTAATCACATTGTCCGCTTCATTCCCAGTCACTCGTTCATCCGGTTCTCAATACGCCCAGTAATGCAGGTGTATGGTTTCATTCAGTTACCGTGATAACTCGGCCTTACCGGTTTCGGATATTACGGCAGAATGCCCGTTTTACAAAAAGGAACAATATTTTCATCGTTCTTTCTGATTTGGATGCTAGAAAGTGTAAGGAACTATCGTCGCAGCCGTCGTCGGTTACAAGGAATGTAACGTTTGCCTGGAAATTTTGTAAAACGTCATCAAATAGTTTCTCATCATACTGTACATTTTGACAGTTGCCGATCGATTTACTTGATTCGATTGCATAAAACGAACGTCAAAGTACTGTGATGTGAACCATTTCTTACTTCCAAACTGTGCCTCAAAACACATGACAAACATTAGCACGAATCGCGAAGTAAAATAGTAGGGAATTTCACCCCGATTGGGGTATCTTTTCGCGATGTACACACACACACACACACACACACACACACACACACAAAGGTGTTTATGACATTCCAGTTGATCAACGAGACAATTTTCATCGAAAAATCGCCCGGTTTGGAACAAGAAAAGTGTGAAAAACTCCCAGGATACGTTGGACAGAAACAGCATCGCAGTGGGAATTCGCAATCGCGTACACACCGCATGTGGTCTGTTGTTAATTGCGCCTGTCTGTATAGTGACCTCATCGATTCCGGCAATCATCGTGCGCTAGACTCCTTTAGGATGGTGGGATTATCATGCGATGATTAGATCATGATAATCCGTCACTTTCTGTGCCATTAGAGACTAATCTCGTTTCGTGGAAATTTGTTCTGACACATAGAGCGAAAAAATATTGCTTGATGGTCATGTCGTTTGAAGAGTAATATAAATCACATGCCGTTTCTTGATTACAATGGTTTGAAACGTGTGATTAGAATGGAATGATGTAGTAGAAATAGGTTAAATCTTGCCTGGAGAAAAAAAGTTAGACGCGTGTGCTTAAGTCCTTATGCTCATCTCAGGTACCATAGTGTTGTACTTGAGCAAAGGTAGACAAACTAATGATAGCTTCTGTGCACAAGACGAAGGACGAAGTATATCAAGTGAAAATTCGGTTGATTAATTCAAAATCATGATGAATTACAATTTTTCACTAATGATACCCGAATGTGATTACCTATACTTATAACTGGTATCGGTGGAGCGGGGGGGGGAAGTCTTACAAACGCATCCATCCCTTTTGTACCTTTTTAATGG